TTTTTTTTGGACTGATGCGACTTATACGCCGGAAAATACGGTATATGGGACAAATGCTTATAAAAATGGTGCATGTTTTATGTGTATTTGAGGACTTTAGGAGAATTAGAAAATTTGCAAAACTTCAATAAAAGTTGAACAGTTTTACAAAAACGTGCATGCATTTAAATATTTTTTTAAAAACAAAATGTGTAAATTATTTTATCTATACACCTCTCTGTTATCTTCCGGTCATGGGGTAGGTCCAGAGACCTCTCTCCACAGCCTCCTCCAGGCCTCCTGAGTAGACTCTCCTGCGTGTCCTGCGATGTTTTTAGTCATCAGTTTTAAGAAGAAGAAACGATCAGGCAACTTTTCATGTAAAATCTGATGGTTCTTGTAAATCACTTGAAGTTTCGGTGTCACCCCAAGAGCCACACACCTTTTTAAAGAAATAAAAACACATCAAGGTACATTTAATGTTCTCAAACATGGCATACTGTAGTTTTTTCTGCTTATATGAAAAAGTTTGGTTAAAACTCTTGCATGACTTCTTGTTTATTTGCTTTTTACTTTTGAATTTTAACTTTAAAAAAATCTCTGTGACTGAATGGAATCAGAGGAGAGCATGAATCTATGGTTTCTAATGTAAAAAAAAAAACCCATAATGCTCACAGCTCAGGTGACTTCATTTGGTCAAAACAAGGAAGTGCTGAGCAAACTTACAGAAAACTAATGAGTAACTCTGACATTCCCCAATTTGCTGAATACGTTTGACAATCTGCCAACTTCTCATAATTCAAAACTCCACCCATTTTTTTCATATTCTTCTGTCAGAACGCCTGGTTTACCCAATTATTGTTTATGAACCCATGACAGCCACCTGACAGGAACACTAGACTCATAACCAGGCACCTATATAAGGACTGTCAAACCCTGCACGGTCACAGGCAGAGGGAAATACCTCAACGCACACGCCGAGAACGAGGCAGGTAAGCTGCTCCATTGGAGATAACATGAGTCTGTAATCTATTGACAACGATACAAAGGGTGGGAAAGAGAGCTGGAAGATAAGATGAAAGAGAAATTCCAAGAAAGTACTTTACAGAAGAGATGTTCTGAGACATCGGACATTATATCAGGAAGGAATTGTAAAAAAAAAAGGTTAAATGGTGCAACCTGTGTGTTTTCCTGCAAGTCTTGAAGGATCTCTGCTTTCTTCTGTCCAGTCAAGATGAAGTTATTGCTTATTGCTGCTGCTCTGGCTGTGGCCAGCTGCGCCACCATTTCCCTGGAAGACCTCGAGTTTCACGCCTGGAAACTCAAGTTTGGTGAGAAACAACAAGTGGAGTGTTTTTAATACAAATTTAATTTTGATTGGCTCTGATTATCTTTTATTTTCCTGATCGTCAGGGAGATCTTACAGCTCCTCATCAGAGGAGACTCATCGCAAGCAAATCTGGCTCACCAACCGCAAAC